AGGCGCGCCCGGGACCGCGGAGAGCCGTCAGCCCGCGCGGTGAGTGCCGGCAGCGGCCTGGGGGCGGGCTTTCTTGGGGCGGGGCCTTGAGGACGGGGCGGGGCTAGAAGCGGGGCCAGGGCCGGCCCGGGCCGCCCTGTGCTGGGAGCCCGCGGCGTATGAGTGTCCGTAGCGGTCTGGAGGCGGGGCTTCCCGGGGCGGGGCCTGGGCGGTGAGGGGAGGCGGGGCCGGAGGTGGGGCCTGAAGGTTGGGGCGGGGCCTCTTACCCGGCCGCGCTTTCAGCGGTAGGGGAGCAGCCTGAGACCGAGAGCGCAAAGCCACAGCCCGCGGTGCCCCCGCGGCCCAGCGCGGACCTCATCCTGCACCGCTGCAGTGAGAGCACCAAACGGAAGCTGGCTTCCGCCGTCTGAGGCCGAGCCACTCCCCTAGATGGCGTCCTGGCCTCTCCGCCCTGTCCCGCCCCATCCCTGTATACACGTGTATAGATCCAGAAGTCTGGATGCCTCCCGCAGTCCCGGCCTCGCCCGGCTAACTATTCAGCGCTCTCAATAAATGTTGCTTGGAGTGGGCAGAAGTCCTGCAGAGCAGCGGGGCGGGCTGGGCTGGGCTCGCCCTTGGGGGTGTTTATAGAATTAGGACTGAGGGCTGTGAGCTCTGCTGGGGCGGGAGGTTGGGGGAAGTTGCAAGAACCAAGGTCCAGTTGCACACTGCCCTGGCTTTGGCCGAGACTAAGTTTGCACGGGGCCAAGTGCAATAAGAACGCCCCGCACCCCCCGCCCCCGCGCTGGCTGTTTGGACAGAAGCTGCCTGCTAAAACTTTGGTCCCACTGCAGAAGAGTTCTGAAGAAGGGTGCCACAGCGCGCGGTGTGTGCACCTTAGTTCGGTGACAAAGAAAAATTGTCATCTAGGTATAGGGAGGGAGCACCTTTGATTATTCGCTGCCCAGTTAGGAGGTTGTACCAGAAAGCAATTACTCATTCATGAACAGACCCTCACCGCCCCCACCAGCCCTGCTGCCAGACCATGGCTCAAAGTCTTTGCTGGTGGATCTTTTGCAAAATGCAAAGACACCAACCAGGGTGCAACCTGGAGCTGCAAATCTTGCTAAAGCAGCAGCTTATCAGGAAGGCGGTGGGTGGCAGCTACCCCTCCTTATGTGGGAGGTGGCACAAGAGGATGGACAAGGCTGGTTCCTTCGAGATAAGGGGACTGATGCTTCTCAAGAGAATAATTTGACCAGCGCAATGATTGAAAGAGGCCTTGAGAACATCACTGGGCCCTTTGCTTTTTGCACATTCGGTTTGCTGGAAAAGTCCAGCCCCTCAAACGCTATCATGCAAAGCTGTGGGAGAATTAACCACCGACCATCCCAACCCCTTTGCTTGTTCAGTTGCAAGTATAATTAAAAAAACAAACTGTGTGAGATAAAATACAGATTTTCTTAATTTTTAGTTTCATTTTTTCCAAGTTAAGGTCCCGATCCAACGTTTTCCTCACGTTTTTCTGCACTTCTGGTCCCCTGGAGGTGGCCCTGCGCTGGCCCCACTCTTGCGTGCTGAGGAGGAGGCCCGGGTGGTGCGTGGGCCTGAGGGCAGGGGGCCTGCCCCGGGGGCTTCTGCTGTCCCCTCCGGGGAGCCAACAGAGAGCACCCGGCAGGCACGCCTGAAGGGGCCTGCGTCTGAGTTACGGCTGCAGTGCGTGGGCAGACGATTTTCTTGGGGCCAGGCACAATGCTGGTCTCTTTCTTTACCTTGTTTCTGGTTTGAGAACAACCCTGGCAGGTGGGTTTGTGGTGGAGGAAACGAAGCCTCAGAAAATGTAAGCAAGTTTTTAGAGTAATATGGCAAGTGGGTGACAGAGCTTTTCTTTTTGGTTCCAAAGCCCTACTGGATTCATTACATTCTCCTGACCCCGCAGAGTTCCTGCTCTGTGGCTCAGTCCAAGTGGCAGGTGCTACGGCCAACAGGCACTCAGAGGAGGGAGGTGACAGGGGCCTGGCTTCCAGAGCCCCAACCCCCCACCCCCACCCCAGGCCTGTGTTGGAGTGACCAGTGTCCTCTGTCCACCTGGGACAGGAAGACAGGGCCTTGGGGGAAATGCTCCTAGAAACTGATGGGGACCACCAAATCCAGCCCTTGGCTCCGGCCTGGGCCCCACCACCCCGCTCCTAAGTGCTCTCATTTGCAGACACCCCATCAATCGATGACCCCAGAAAACCATCTGCTTGCTCAGTCAGTTCTCCCAGGCTTGGCTCTGTCATCTGAGTGAAGGTGCTGGGCCGCCACGGTCCCAACACACATGCAGGATAAAGAAGGAAGCCGTAGGAGTTGATTCAAAGCAGAACAGCCCATGAATAGTCGAGTCACAGAAGGCAGCCCAGGCTGAACCCTGCTGTCCCCTCAGCATCATCCGATGCGCTAACTACCAGAAAGCCACACATGACAGCCTCCTGTCATGGAATAACACGGACTTCGGAGTCACACAGACCTAGTTTGTATCCTGACCCCGTCTCTGCTGTGTTACCTTGGCAGGTCACTTAATCACTCTGAGCCCTAGCTGTCGGTCTATCACATGAGGGGGCTGACCTTTCCCTGCAGAGTCCACAGGGCGACCCCTCTGATACTCGGTTGGGCATCTGCTCGGGTACACCGGGGCGGGTCTCCCCTGACCCCGTTGTAAACCAGCCCATTCCTCCTCCTAGGAAGTGAGCCTCTGAGCTAGCCAGACCCAGCTGAACCTGCAGTCCACCCCCCAAGGACAGGAACTGCCGGGGTGGGGTCATTTTCCCTGTGTCTGAGGACATGCATTGGGGCTCCAGCTGGGGGCGGGTGCCTTGCGCAGGAAACTGCCTGGAGGTTGGTCTCTCTCTCTCTCCTGCAGCCTCCCTTTATTTTTATCAAAGTGTTTTGTCCATTGCTTCCTGAATGGGTCATCACCAGGTCAGGATCTTTAGCCTTTTTGCTCCCTAGTCAGATTAATTCTTCCAACCTGGAAAGTATTCATAATTTTGGGTCATTAATTCCAGTGGCTAATACAGATTAAGAACACTGTGTGTGTGTGTGTGTGCGCGCGAGCTTTCAAATGCCTGCTCTCTGGGGCTTAAGTGCTATAAAGGGAAGGACATCAGGACAGTCTCCGAGGGACTGTCCCCAGCTTGCAAACATGTTAGAACACAAGGGACACCATGCACAGTGTCATTTATGGTAAACGAGATCGAAGTATTACATCAGTGTTCGATTTACTGGAGCTGGTCACTAAGTAAGTCATGGTTAGAGAATATCCCTATTCTTGGAAAATATTCCCTAAAGTAGTCGGGGGAAAGGATGTATGTAACCCCCTCAAATGGTTCAGAAAAAAAAATTAGGCGCGTGCATTTATACACACATTATACTCGGACACTCATGCATACAGGCTCACAGGCAGTGTGGTACACACACACAAACACACACACACACACGCGTGTGTACACACATGAAAGAGAGAAGGAGGCCAAGCAAACAAGGGATAGAGCATAGGGGTAAAATTTCAATAATATGAGAATTTGGCAAGAGGACATGTAAGTGTTCTTCATACCTTTCTTGTTTCTGCAACTTCTCTGCAAATTTGAAATTATTTCAAAATACAGTTTATTTATTTCTTAAGTCATCACCGCACCCAACATGGAGCTCAAACTCACCACCCACAGATCAAGAGTCGGATGCTCTACTGACTGAGCCAGCCGGGCGCCCCTCAAAAAAAAAGTTTATCAAAAAAACAAAACAAAACAAAACAAAAAAACAAAACAACCTCCAAACCTCAGCTGCCTTGGCCTTTGAAAGCTCATGTTACTTGTTATCTGGAGTTCTCCATTTTCAACTCCTATCTTTGTGGGTCTGCCGGGAGGCAGAGACAGATCACACAGGGGTACTACGGTTGGTGAATGTGTCTCCAAGGGACTGTCCCCAAGCTTGCAAACATGTTAGATCACAGGGGACACCATGCAGAAAGTGGGCAGATAGATGTGTGTGCATTTACCCTCCTCCACGAATACACACCTCTCTGTTTCTCTGTTGGCTGATTTAAAACTTCAGTATGCTGGCCTCAGGGGTGAGTGAAACCCGCCGGCCAGAAGGAAAAGCAACCACCAGAAATACAATAAAACGGTCTTCATCTTTACTGGACTATGGTGAGGCATAAAATGTCATACAAACGGGTAGGATACTGCAAGTTACATTTCCGAGTCAAAGTGGAAAAAACTGGAAAACAGAAAGTTTGTAACTTGTCTTCTCATCTTGCAATCCCTGGGGCCCGGAGGATTCTAGTCTTGCACCCCCCCCCCCCCCCCGTGTTGTAAGTCATGTCGCGATGTGGAGCATGGAATCCCACTGCGAGTCCTTTAGCTGCGAGCAGTATTTCGTTTTGCTCAGTTTCATAATGGAAAACAGCTGTTCGCAAATGTAGGTGCTTCCGAACATGGAGAGAATCTTTGCACAGTGGATTCTGTACTTCGGGTAGCTACTCCACAGGTATTTGTAGAACTCGGGGACCCCGACCTTGTCGTATTTAGTCTTTAGCACCGTGTTGCACTGCAGGTCAATGACCTCCATCTGGAGCGCCTCGTGCACGCTCTCGATCTTCACCGAGAAAGGGGAGCTGAACAGGGTCAGGTCACTTTCATAGAGTTTGAAATCGGACAACCTCTTCTGGAACTCGGTCTTCAGTTCTACGATTTTGGGAATGTAGTTCAGGCCGTCACTTTCATTTCTGGAAACCGACTTCAGCGTGGGGAAGTGGGCCAGGTTATTCCTCGCCAAGTGAGTTTCCCAAAGGCACAGTTTGGCTAGGAATGCCCGGATCAGGTCGTACATCTGCGTGACGACCTGTGAGTGCCCTTGGAGCGAGATGTTCAAAGTGTTCAGGTGCATTGTCATATCGACCAAGAAGGCCAAGTCTCTGATCCAATCTTGAGAGCTCAGCTGAGGCAGGGGCTTCCCTCTGGACGACATGAAGGAATCAATTTCTTCCAACGATTCAAAAAATCTCTTGAGCACCAGCCCTCGACTGAGCCACTTAATCTCGGTGTAGTAGAGCAGGCTACCATATTGGCTGTCCAGTTCATACAGCAAGGTCGTGAACTCACTGTGGTTCAGCCCACGGGAGCATATCCAGTTCACGGAGTTAACCACCACACTCATGACGTGGTCCATCTTCAACTTTTGCGCACAAAGCGATTCCGGGTGAATGATGCAACAAACCGACTTCAGATCCGAGTCCTTGCAAATCATGGCCACCTTGGACTTAAGTTTCGTCACCAGCCCGTCGTTCACATCGACCATGGCAGGGGTGCCTGTAGAGGCCACGCTGACCAGTTTTGACCAGTCGATATTAAACTTCTTCAGACTCTTCTCGACACGCAGAAATATCTCGTTGCCAGATTTTGTACCTGTCATGGGCACCGTATCCAAGAGCTCTTCCGACACATCGAAATTCTCATCAACGCCGCGGATGAATATGGCCAGCTGGGTGGTATTATTGATATCCGTGATCTCATCGATTGCGATAGAGTATGCCACGAACGACTTGATTTTTTCGCGTAACTTCTCCCATAAGTTCCCAGCCATGTCTTCTATGGGTTGCACGGCCGCAGTTTCATTTGGGCTCACATTTGCAAAGGCCTGTTTCTGCTCGGGGCCCATGATCTCGGATGACCCCAAGAGGTACTTCCTGAGTCCTTTCTTCAGCTCGTGGAGCTTCTCGTCCCGCATCTTCTCGGTATACTGGTCATAGTGCTTGCTGTGGTTCGTTTGATAATGGCGCCGGAGGTTATACTCTTTGGACACAGACATGCTCTGTTTGCATATTAAACACGTAGGAATATTCTGCACTTCCACGAAGAAATACGCTCTCTCCCACTTCTCTTGAAAGACACGGCCCTCCTGGTCTATCTTTCTTTTTCCCACTTTTGACAGAGACATGGAGACAAGAAATATTTCACTTTTTCTCTCAACTCTACCATATGAAAAACGACAGCAAAAACGTGATGATAAACGTCAGGGGTAAAGTGGCTGGGGTGGGGGGGTATGGTTAACCCACTCCTGCAGAGAGGGACGGCTGACTCTCAGCTCCAGCAACAGGCTGCTGGAGGGAATGTGGGATCCGGGGCCAGATCTTCAGATTCCAAGAGAACTTAGAAATCGACTCTTTTTTTTTTTTTTAAGGTAAACTCTATGCCACACGTGGGGCTCGAACTCACAACCCTGAGATCAAGAGTCACTTGCTCTACCCACTGAAAACGTCCCTGGCTTTTCTTTCTTTTTCTTGAAAATGTCCCTGGCTTTTCAATGTCGGCCACTCGTTTCCATTTTTAAAAGGTACACTAGCCCAATGAAAGGCATCTTTTGTGATTCAGCAAGTACCTATGTTTGCCCCATCTGCTTTAAGCAAGAATGATCTGGCACTATGTTTGCATTTTATTGTATACTTTTTCATTTGTGTCTCAAGAGAACTTTGAAGTAACAGGGAAGGGGGATGACCACAGAAGGTGTGTGATTTACCTGCTGTGAGGCGCAAGGGGCCTTGGTCATAGCCACGGAACCGCACACAACTTACTTGTTTTAAATTTAAAGAAATCTGACCACGAAGCAGGTAAGAGCTCTACTTGGAGAGAACACAGGTCTAAACATTCACTTCAAGAAAATGTGGGCAGAGGGGCCGCCTGGGTGGCTCAGTCGTCAAGCATCCGCCTTCAGCTCAGGTCATGATCCCAGGGTTCTGGGATCGAGCCCCGCATTGGGCTCCCTGCTCAGCGGGAAGCCTGCTTCTCCCTCTCCCACTTCCCCTGCTTGTGTTCCCTCTCTCGCTGTGTCTCTCTCTGTCAAATAAATAAATAAAATCTTTAAAAAAAAAAAAAGTGTGGGCAGAGACAAAAAAGTAAGTCAATTCGGTGGTTGTCTGGGGCTGGGGGCAGGAACAGGAAATGAGAGAAAAATGGGTAGGAGGGATCTTTTGGGGGGTGATGGAAACGTCCTAATATTAGATTGTGGTGACAGTTTGCCGAACTCTGTAAATTTATTAAAAATCACTGGCAGGTGTATACCTCACACGAGGGAATTTTACGGTATGTAACTCATGCCTCAATAAAGCTACAAAAAAAAGAAAAAGAAACTGTTCAGCAACAAACAAGACGAGTTTAGGAAGAATAATCAATCGGGCATTTTCAAAGAATATTTTAGTTTTTCCAACTTGAACTGAGGAGGTGCCCTAGTGACTCAGACTCCAGAGAACATCCCTACATCTGCTTTACTCACCCCACAGGATGCTGATGACTTGCTTGCAATGACTCCGGGGGGCCACGTTCAGAATACTGAACAGGCACAGTGGATGGGGCGTTGCTCAGTCAGAACAGATGTTGACCTCAGCACCGGAGGGGTCCTGGGAGCCTCCTCTGTGCCAGGTGGCTCCCTCTAGGCTCTGAACTGGGGGGAGATCTGGGCAGGGGGGGCTGGGGGGTGTCCTCGGGGATGGAGCTGGGGTACCAGGCAGGAGCTGTTTACCCACTGAGCTGGGCTAGTTCAGTAAAATGTTCCTAGCCCCCCACCCCTGCCATAAAGGGCTCCCAAATTCCAGTGTGCCAGCAAGCTCCTTCAAGCTGTCGCATGAGAATTCTGGTGAAGTACCAGAATTAAAGGACTTTATAACCAGCAGGACAAATAAACTGCATCTTAAGAGCACCATGCTTTGCTCTAAGGCTCAAGGCTTGGGAAGCAAGGCCCCCCGTGGGGAGGGCCTGCAAAGACACGTGGCACCACAAAAAAACAGTGGGTGCTGGGATGACTTTCTTGCCACCCACCCGGGATACTCACCATTGCTAAGCTCCAGGCCTGGAAGCGGTCTGAAGAGAAAGAGATATGGTGAATGCCACAAAGTCCGTTTGTCCGGGGACACACAGCTCCCAGAAGTGGGATACGAGACAAGGAGAGTGCGAGAGGCACTGGGCTTCGGAGCCCCACGGCCCACCTCCTGGTTAAAAAAAAAATCCCACCGCCCCCCTCCCCCACCTCGATCAGGTGGCGACCTTCAGGTTCATTCTCCTGACCAAGCAGGGAGCGCTCACCTACCTAAGGACTGTGAATTTGATAAAATCTGCAGCATCCAAGATCCTTCTCATGGAGCTGATTTCTAGGTAACCAGGGGCTTTGAAGACCACGCCCGGGGGCATGCCGTCGATAACCACACAGCCTGGGTTGAATGTGATCTTCCTGTAGGGAACTTTCACAGGGAAGTCCACCCCGATGGCTTCACCTGCGAGGAGACAAACAACAGAAGACCGCTTCAGTGTGTCACCTGCTTTTCCCAGACCAGTGCCGAGATGCTAAAATACTTCCAGTCCAGTGACAACGTGGGCCATCGGCCATTATTACTTCACGGACAGTCTTACTGACTTTGACATTGGCAACGGGCAGTAAAACAGATTCAATTTCTCTCTCCAGGAAGGAGAAACGATGCTGGCATTTACCTGTAAAAGGGTTTTATGAAGATTAAATAATGATTCACGTGTCAGTGCTGAAAGCAATGCTCAGCCATGGTAAGAACTCAGTAAATCAAAGATAGATACTGTTATTGCGATTAGTGTGTCCATGTAAAAGCCCTTCAGGAAAAATACACGCTGATTTTGATCATAGCTCCTTCCCCAGAAAGATCTATTTCTTTTTTTTATGTATAATTATTTTATTAAAAAATTTTTTTTAGTAAGCTCTACACCCAACATGGGGCTTGAACTCACGACCCCTAGATCAAGAGTTGCACGTTCTTCTGACTGAGCCAGCCAGGCGCCCCCAGAAAGATCAATAAAGTATTCCATTAAAAAGAAATACCTCAAATATATACATTTTGGATACGTAACAATATAAAAACTTACCAAATTTTCGGCTAAAGAGGTCATTGACTTGTTCTCTTAGTTGTTTTATCTTTTCAATGCTGGATAATCTTTCCTTCTCGTTATCTAAAAATAATTAGACAATCAAGCAAACTGGGGTTACTGATCAATTTACCCCCAAAAAAGCTGTTGGAGGAAGTGCCTGACAGCACATGAAAAAAAGCACTTTACCTGGCTTGTCACTCAGTTTAGTTTTTTTGGAAATGTGTAAATGGAAGCCATTAGAGACGACAGAGAATTTCCCAAATTATAAATCCATGTAAACACACTCCATACTACCTTAGGGAACATTTTCAACATTATGTAGGATCAGGGTGTCCACTTTCACCTCTACTCTTCAACATTATAATAGCAATCTGAGTCAATGCAATATGACAAGTAAAAGGAGTAAGATGTACTAGGATTAGAAGGGAATATTTTTCAATACTTAACATTTTTATTGTATTTAATTTTGAATAACTAGAGCAATTACATGGTTCAAAACTCACAAGACATAGAACAACGCAGAGTGAAACATTTCTCTCACATCCCTCTCTCAGCTCTGTTTCCTTCCTTGGGGAAATTATGTTATCAGATTCTTTTGTATCTCTCCAGATATATTTTATATACACATATTCAGAAAAGATTGCTTGATGGGCAGCAGATAAATTCCACCTCTGTGGCCATTTCTTATTTATTTATTTATTTATTATTATTATTTTTTAAAGATTTTATTTATTTATTTATTTGAGAGAGAGAGAATGAGAGACAGAGAGCATGAGAGGGAGGAGGGTCAGAGGGAGAGGCAGACTCCCTGCTGAGCAGGGAGCCCGATGCGGGACTCGATCCCGGGACTCCAGGATCATGACCTGAGCCGAAGGCAGTCGCTTAACCAACCGAGCCACCCAGGCACCCTGGCCAATTCTTATTTAACAGGAGCTGGTGCTTGGAGTTGTCTGCCCTGAGGTGTATTTTCCAGTAATGCCAAGGTGTGGCTGTGAGAAGTAATATATCTGATTAACGATGTCTGATATAAGCAAAATATTCAGTGTCTGACAATCTGTAGTGTATTTTATATTCCTGAATTGTCATTCCTTAGTTGAAAGGGTAAACTAAGCAAAAAAAATAAAGTTCCAAGGGTTTATGACCCATGTTATATAATGGCTAAAATATAACAAAAAGAAAAATATAAAGTCAATTATGATAACGCCAGATAGATTTCCATACCTGGAATTGTCACCTGAACAATGTTAAGATCTTCCACACCTGCCGCAGAATTGGTAATACTGGATGAATTTGTGCTTCCTAAAAACAGAAACTGAAATTTAGAACTTAAAGAAAATTAGGTTAATTCTCCTCTAAAAATGTCCATGTGTCACTCTGATCAGAGGCACAGACTCAACTTTTAAAGCTTCAGAGAACAGGTGGCTGTAGGAAGTTGGGCTCCATGCTCAGTGCAGAGTCTGCTTAAGATTCTCTCCATCTCCCTCTGCCCCTCTGCCCTGCATGCTCTCTCTCTCAAATAAATAAATAAATCTTTTAAAAAATAAAAGTGCTCATCTGGTTCCATATTCCATAAGCCATCATAATAACTGTTGTCAGATAAAGGACAAGAACACACCTACAGATGGGCTTCCAAATGCCACAGTCTGTTGCTGGAGGCATGGTCATTATCTACCAAATAATTTATAGCGAGTCCTTTAGAAAACTGCTCTCCAGAACAAAAAGGTGATTGGGCTTGTAGTCCCTGTACATGCATGATGCCCCACAAGAGAAGAGCACAATGGAGAGGCCATCTTGGAGAACATTTCCATCAACCTGCATTCAAATCACTGCTGGACTTGGATTCTAACATGGGATTCTTTATATTGTTTCCTTTTCTTCCTTTTCCCCCTTAAAATAGAGTTGACATACAATGTTGCATTAGTTTCAGGTGTACAACATAGTGGTTTGACAAGTTATATTCTTTTTTTTTAACCCCCCCCCTTTTTAAAGGATTTTATCTATTTATTTATTGGTCAAAAAGAGAGAGAGAGAATGCAAGCAGGGTGAGGGGCAGAGGGAGAAGCAGACTCCCCGCCGAGCAGGGAGCCCTATGTAGGGCTCAATCCCAGGACCCCGAGATCATGACCTGAGCCGAAGGCAGACGCTTAACCAACTGAGCCACACAGGTGCCCTATTTTTTATTTTTATTTTTTGAGTGAGGGAGCGCATGAGTGCGCATGAGCGAGGAGGGGAGGGGCAGAGGGAGAGGGAAAGAGAGAATCCTAAGCAGGTTCCACGCTCAGCACGGAGCCCGACAGAGGGCTCGATTTTACGAGCCTGAGATCGCGACCTGAGCCAAAATCAAGAGTTGGACGCTTAACTGACTGAGCCACCCAGGTGCCCTGGAGATTTTAAGTGAAAGAAGTCAGGCCCCAAAGGGCACACATTGTACAATCCCACCTGTATGAAATATGTAGAAAAGGTAAATCCATAGAGATAGAGAGTAGACTGGTGGATACCAGGGGCTGGGGGAGGGAAGAACGGGAGGGACTGGTAATGGGTATGGGATCTTCTTTTGGGGAGACGAAAATGTTTTCGAACTCGATAGAGGTGGTGGTTACCCAACACTGCGAATGTACAAAAGCTACTGAATCATTCACTCCAAAACGGTTGATTTTTAGAGTCTCTAAATAAAAGCACTCCCAGGGCACCTGGGTGACTCAGCCAGTTAGCATCTGCCTTTGGCCCAGGTCATGATCTCGGGGGATCCTGGGGTCCTGGGGTCCTGGGGTCCTGGGGTCCTGGGATCGAGCCCCAAGTTGGGCTCCCTGCTCAGCGGGGAGTCTGCTTCTCCCCCCCTGCCCCCTGCCCCCCCCCGTGCTCTTGCTCTCTCAAATAAATTGATAAAATCTTAAAAAAAAAAAAAATAGAAGGACTCCCATAGCAATTAAACAACATAAAGAAATGAAAGTCATCCAAATTGGTAAGGAAGAAGTAAAGCTCTCACTATTTGCAGACAACATATAGAAAACCCTAAAGACTCCACCAAAGAATTACTAGAACTGATAAATGAATTCAGAAAGTCGCAGGATACAAAATCAACGTATAGAAATCTGTTGCGTTCCCATACACTAATAATGAAGCAGCGGAAGTGAAATTAAGAAAACAATTCCATTTACAGTTGCACCAAAAACAATAAAATAGCTAGGGATAAACCTAACCGAAGAGGTGAATGACCTGTGCTCTGAAAACTAACACTGATGGAAGAGACTCAAGATGACACAAAGAAATGGAAAGACATTCCATGCTTATGGGTTGGAAGAACAAATATTGTTAAAAAGTCCGTACTACCCAGAGCACTCTACACATTCAGTGCAATCCCTATCAAAATCCCAACAGCATTTTTCACAGAACTAGAACAAATAATCCTAAAATTTGTATGGAATCCAAACAAAAGACCCCAAGTAGCCAAAGCAATCTTGAAAAACAAAACATACTTAATGACAGTAATTCTGAGACCCATAACATTAATAAATATGTAAAATAAAAACTTCTCTTTCTCATATTAGGAAGATACTAGGGACCAGCTCATATTCCAGCAGCAGAGATGAAAATATTTCTTAGCAAGGGCGCCTGGGTGGCTCAGTCGTTAAGCGTTTGGCTCAGGTCATGATCCTGGGGTCCTGGGATCGAGCCCCGAATTGGGCTCCCTGCTCAGTGGGGAGTCTGCTCCCTCTCCCTCTGCCCCTCCTCCCTGCTTGTGTTCTCTCTCTCTCTCAAATAAAATCTTAAAAAAAAGAAAAGAAAATATTTCTTAGCAGATAACCAAGTGGATCACAATGAAAGAAAACAGGCACATTGTTTTAACTAAATGCGTTCAAAATCCACAAGTTCCAGGATCAATGTTGTCATTCATTTCCATGAAAAGTCAAAAATGTTTTAAAAACCTTTCAATTGTAAAGAATATCCTTAGAATATGTTTGTAACTATCAGATGTGGTTTTTAAACAGGCATCCAAACAAAAACCAAACAGATTACACGTCAGTCTGTCAGTCTTTTAAAGAAAATTATCTTATGTAGTGGATCTTAAAAAATAAATCTTTTTAAAACCACACTTTGAACTTGACTTCCTTTAGATTCTTGCAGTTAAACCGAGTTCATGGCTTCTAGGCCCCGGTCCATCCCCCTTCTTTCTTCCCTCACTTGGCATGGAGCATAGTCTGCTCCCTGGCCAGTGCTGATCTGCATGGCCTAAAACACACACACACACACACACGCACACACACACACAAATACACAGACACACAAATACACAGACATGTATATACCCATATACCCCCACCCCCATACACACACACACCCCGAAGACAGTTTCAATCTTCTCCCCACAATAACCCTTCAAGAAAAAATGAAAGCCACACTCAACAGCCTCACTCTGATGAGGCTTTTGGCAACTAACCTTCAATTTTCACCTCGGCTTCGGGGTCCTCACCCGTTTCTGAAGGGACACGCAGAATAGAATCTTGAAAAAAAATTTCTAAAATGACATTCATTATTACGTATTCTCATGTTCCAACCTTTCACTGCTCCTGTAACCCAAACAGTAGCTTAGCCTGGCATTTTAAACACATTTCATACTTAACAACATGTAAAAGTGTAAATGTGAAAGTATTTTTATTTTTTTAAATTTTTATTTATTTACTTCTTTTTAAAAAAATTTTAATTCAGTTAGCTGACATGTAGTACATCATTTCAGAGGTAGAGGTCGGTGACTCATCAGTTGCATATTAACACCCAGTGCTCCTCACATCACGTGCCCTCCTTAATGCCCATCACCCAGTTGCCCCATCCCCCCACCCACCTCCCCTCCAGCAACCCTCAGTTTGTTTCCTAGAGTTAAGAGCCTCTCATGGTTTGTCTCCCTCTCTGATTTCTTCCCATTTAGTTTTCCTCCCTTCCCCTATGATCCCCTGCACCATTTCTTATATTCCTCCTATGAGTGAAACCATATAACTGTCTTTCTCTGATTGACTTATTTTGCTCAGCATAATCCCCCCTCCAGAGGAATGTTGAAAAAGAAAACCAGAGACGCCTGGGTGGCTCAGTCGGTTAAGTGTCTGCCTTCGGCTCAGGTCATGATCCCAGGGTCCTGGGATCGAGTCCCGCATCGGGCTCCCTGCTCCGCGGGGAGCCTGCTTCTCCCTCTGCCTCTGTCTCTCATGAATAAATAAAAAAAATAAAATCTTTAAAAAAAAAAAAAGAAAAGAAAACCAAAGCTGGGGGCATCTGCTCTATTACAAAGCTGTCATCATCAAGACAGCATGGTACTGACACAAAAACAGACACATAAATCAACGAACAGAATAGAGAGCCCTGAAATGGACCCTCAACTCTATGGTCAACTAATCTTCGACAAAGTGGGAAAGAATATCCAATGGGAAAAAAAAGACAGTCTCTTCAACAAATGGTGTTGGGAAAATTGGACAGCCACATACAGAAGAATGAAACTGGACTGTTTTCTTACACCATGCACAGAGATAAACTCAAAATGGATGAAAGACCTAAATATTTATTTTTACTTATTATTATTATTTTGTAGTAATCTCTACACCCAACGTGGGGCTCGAACTCATGACCCCGAGATCAAGGGCCTCATGCTCTTTTGACTGAGCCAGCCAGGCGTCCCTAAATGTGAAAGTAATTTTAACTTTAAGAGGTATCATAGGGTAAGAAAGGGTAACCTTATAAGGGATAAGGGGAGGCAAGAAACTCTCAGATACTATGAAATAGTACCCAGTTACCCACGTTAGTGGACACAGAATGTCCTTCTATTGGAGGTAATGGAATTCCTCTGGTCATAAGCATTTTCTTGCTCTCATCAGAAATCACTCGGATAAAAGAAAGCTGGGTGCTTTGGGGGGCGGTTCCCCTGCCAGCAATCCCCTGGGGTTCAGTCTGTTATCACCCTAGAGGCACAACTGATTTTTCCAGTTTGCCAGAATTATGACAGACACAAGCCTGGCTGGAATGCTCTCGCCTAACTCTGGCTCATTTTAGAAAGCTTCCATCAGCTCAGACCTTTGGAGACCACTCTCCTCAATTGTTCGTAGAGGAAGAAAGACTCTAATTAGCTGTTGGATATTGGACTATTGGAAGGTAAGATGTAACGTCTGGGGGAACAATGGGTCTGCAGACCTCTCTGACTGTTCTTGCAGCTTCTTGACAATCTTTAATTGCTTCAACATAAAAAGTTTACAAAAAAAAAAATCAGACTAATTTGGTTGTATCATAAATAGGCTTCCTGCTATACTGTAATAATAGAAATCTCTTGGGGGCCCCTGGCTGGCTCAGTCGCCGGAGCGCATGACTCTTGATCTCGGGGGACTGTGAGTTCAAGCCCCGCATTGGGTGTAGAGATTACTAAAAAAATAAATCAATACACTTAAAGAAAACCTCTTCAGAAACAAGGTATTTCAAAGACCAACATCCAGTGACATCTTTCTGTCACTCCACACCAGCTCTACCTGGACGCTCATGTAGGTTTTCCTCCTCCTAAATATGTCCTATCCTTTAAAAAGAATGACAGAACAATGTCTTTTTCATTTTTATTTATTTTTATTTTAAGTAGGCTCCACGTCCAGTGTGGGGCTTGAACTCACGACCCTGAGATCCAGAGTTGTGCGCTGGGTTGGCTGACTGAGCCCGCCGGGTGCCCCCACAGAACATGTCTCAACGGGCTTCAACGAAGGGAAAGAAAATGATGTAAGGGAGGAACAGATTTAAACTGAATTTGAAATCCCTGTCCTCCCCAACATCCAGAGAAGGTCAGAGACGGGGTTGAGGAAAAAACAACGAAAAATAAATGGCAGAATCCTGTCACATGTTATGACATGGATGAACCCTGGGGGGGGGGTGTCACACCAGGATGCGGGGCTTGATCCCAGGACCCTGAGATCACGACCTCAGCCAAAGGCAGATGCTTAACCGACTGAGCCACCCAGGCATCCCTGTGGTGTGTTTTTTAAACCACAGTAAAAAAATGTATAATTTAGAAAAGTAAACGGAAGTTGAATAATGACAGAGGGGCTTGTCTTCTTGGTTTAAAGCAATTAAGTTTAAGATGATTAATTCTGTGAGTGAATGAATGATTCTAACACTGGACCGGAACATAGTATGTTCTCTGGCAAAATATATCAAAACTCTTTTAGGTCAGAGAATTGAACCAAATGTTCAGGGAGCCATTGGAACTGTCCCCTACAATAAAGAACCCCAGATGCCCCCAAATCACAGAAGCTATTAAAAATGACCACACATTAGCTCCCTGGAGAATACCTCTGACTTAGACAAAAATATAAATCATTTTGGAACCAAGATAGACATCCGACTCCTAAAAGCAAGGTCTTCTTGCCTGTAAACTGACAAAGATGTCCCATGCCTCTAGGTTTGGGGAGGAAATTTCCTTTATTCATTTTACCTTGGACATGTATAAACCATTTTAAGAGTTCAGGCCTTATACAGGATACTCAAGATTTATACACACAGGAAGGGAAGTACTATCAAATTTTACTTCTGATTCAAGAATTTCCTAGGGGTGCCTGGGTGGCTCAGTCGATTAAGTGTCTGCCTTTGGCTCAGGTCATGATGCCGGGGTCCTGGGATTGAGCCCCACATCCTCGGGCTCCCTGCTCAGCGGGGAGTCTGCTTCTCCCTCTTCCTCTGCCCCCACTCCCCCCCCACCCCTGCTCTCTCTCTCTCAAATAAATAAATAAAATCTTAAAAAAAATTTCCTAAAATACTTTTCAACTCTGTTCAAAAGAATTTGGCGGGGGCGGGGGGCACCTGGCTGGTTGTCAGTGGAGCGTGCAACTCTTGATGGTGGGGTCATGAGTTCGAGCCCCATGTGTGGTGCAGAGTTTACTTAAAATTGAAAAAAAAAAAGAAATTTAAAAAAAAGGAAATTTGGTATGACTGGCAAGAAGACAAATGGAATAAAGCAACAAATGGCACAGATGTAAAGTTTTCTTACCACACAACTTCTAATCCAGGTGCTTTAAGGAGAATCACTCACAGATCAGAAAAGGAAGAGTGACAGTTAAGGGCACATTTTAGCGCTAAGACTCAGCTGGTTTTCTAAGGTGGCAAGCTGGGAAGCTGCCTTACTTTAGACATGTGTCATGGGTGTTTAAAAGACCGTGTTCTCTGCAAAACACTGTAAACTAGAACAACAAAACCAAAAAGAGGCTAAAATGCCTGGCTTCTCTAACCTTCCATTGGTAATTCCATTTCTATTACTTCGCCGCTTGCACAAGGATGCTGGTTTTCTGAAAGGGAAGCAAACAATGTATTAAAAAAAAAAAAAGGCCAAAATAGAAAATGTAAACAAGAATTCATTTAAAACCAAGCCAACAGTTCAAGACCCACACAGGAATGTACATGAGAAATACTCCGAGTCCTTGAAATAAAATTCATACAAATGATTCCTTCTTTGCACTTTTTCTTTGTTGTTTTATCTGCACTTTGGAGAAGTTTCAAACCTACAAAAGCAGAGATGGTAGAATGATGCCATGTGTCCATCTCCGGTGCCAATAGCCACCAACTCCATATGCTATTTTTCTGCGCCCCTCCCCCCACCTGCACCTGTTGTTAAGGTAAATCCCAGGTCTGGCAGGGTCGGGGTGCACAGATGACGCATGTGCAAATAAGATATAATGACTCATCCCTCACCTTCATCACATCACGATTCCCCCCAAACTAACAACTCTTCTTTATCATCAGCTCATATCTAGTCACTGTGCAAATTTCTTCAACTGTCTTGTAAATATCTTTTTTTTTTAATGTCATATTTGGACATAGTTTCAAATTTACAGAAAAGTCACAAAAAGGAAATAGTACAGAGAGGAGCCACATACCCTCTACTCAGATGACATACGGATTACAGTTTACGGTTTCCCTTGATCATGTTCAATCTTTGCCCCCCTGCCCCCATTTTCCTATGTAGACAGATCGATGTATGTATAAGGGACATCCTTTTCTCTTTCTCTGACCCATCTGAGGAAAGTTACATAGACCGTAGCCCTTCACCTCTGAATGCTTAATAGCTTTCCCTTCCCCAGTGCGGGATCCAGTTTGGGGCCAGACATTGTTTTTTTGTTCTCACTTCTCTTTCTTCTCATTTAACCTTATTTTGAGTTGGTCTAATGTTTCCTCGTGCAAAGATTCTTGGCCAGACTATTACTGCTGAGATGATGGTGTGTCCTCCCCAGCGTACCATGTGCAGAGGCAGATGATGTGTGGGTCATCCTGAAATTCATGAGTTGGAATCTTAACCCCCAACGTGTTGGTATTTGGTGATGGGGCCACTGGGAGGTGCTAATGTCACGAGGGTGGAGCCCTCAGGAATGGAATCAGTGCCCTTGGAAAGGGGCCCCCCAGAGAGCTCCCTCACCCCTTCCACCATGTGAGGATACAGCAAGAAGATGTTCATCCATGTACCAGGACGGGGGTCCTCACCAGACTGCCAGCACCTTGGTCTTAGACTTCCCGGCCTCCGGAGTGGTGAGATACACATTTCTGTTATCATTCCCCTCCCCCGCCCCACCTGCCCCCGGTCTATGGTATTCTGTTTTAGCAGCCTGAACAGACGAAGGCGGTGTCCACCTGCCTCTCACTGGTGTTGTGAACCTTGATCGCTGGGTCAGGGTGCTGCTTGAGTTCTCCACTGGATAATTACTATTTTTTCCTCCCTCTTGCAACTAACAAGCAGCCTGTAGGTGGAGAAACGTTAAGGTTGTTTAAGTATTCCACTCCTCTTCTAGATTTCTCTCTAGATGCCGTATCCACTGGTGACTCCTGCTTGACCCAGTCTTTTATTATAATGGTTACAAAATGGCTGTTTCCCAATTTCAGCACTCCTACCCAGCACTTGGCATTCCACAGGAATCCCTAAATGTCCTTCTGTAGCTGGTTTGTTCAAATCAGGACCCCAACAGAGCCCACATGCTGCATTTGGCTGAAATGTCTCAAATATCTTGTACTATAAAACAGGTTTCTCTCCATTTCTTTCTTT